TACTTCAGCTGGGGCCAGACGGGGCAGTGAGGCGTGCACATGTAGCCGCCTCTGGCCGCCCCCCTGCCGCTCCTGTTGGGGCATGCCAGGGCATTAGCCACTTCATCAGGTTCTTTGTTGCCCGCCTCTCTTTTGTGTTGCCCTTGAAGGACGTTGCAAGCACAGCCATGGCTACAGCCTCCTCTTTACATCTTGATACAGCTTATTCAGGGAACTTTTTTTGAGAAATCAGTGGCTTGGGACGAGTTTTTTTTTTTTTTTTTTTTTTTTTCTTCTTCCCCAAGCTCCGGATTCAGGATGTGTTTCCCTCTCATTGATTCCAGCTCAAGCAGCTCACCTCATGTTAACAATGACTGGTTTTATCACTGCACATTTTATAGTATCTATTTAATTAAAGAGAGACTTCCTTTTAGAAGATTAATTTAAGTATGATAACTACTACAAGGTAAATACTGACATTCTTACCACTGAGAGTAATAGGTTCACTTGTGCATGAGCAGGTACCGTATCCAGATATGCACTACACTTCTCTTTTTTTTACGTGGCAATACCTGAGGCCATTCTGAATTTAAATTGACATCAAATATTTTCATTTTCCAAAGGACAAAAGTGTTGACTCACCTCCAAAATACACTTGTTTGATTTCCCATGTGAACATAGTACACAGTGACACCCATAGCTTTCACCATTCAGAGACTCACTCACTCAGCCGCTCACTGTGCTCCGCATTTCAGAGTAATTTTCACTCCTGACACCACGGCTCTGCCTACCTGCCAATTTCTGTCTCGGTTCCTGAATGGGTGATTTGTAAAGCCATGTTCACCTCAACACTCAGAAGATTTACTCAGGAGTGAGCTTGCCAGGTGTTTGAGCTGTCAGTTCGGTCTGTGTTCACAAACTTGCCGAAGGGAAAGTAATAGCCATACTCAGCCAGTTGACTCAGCCAACTGAGTCGCTATTGGAGTAATAGTGGAATACATATGGTCGTTACTATTGATTTGGGACTTACAACAACAAAAGCTAGTCTTATTTCATGAAACCATTTTACTTTTGTGGGTTTCCTGTACTACTTCTTTTTTCCTGAAAAATATTGCTTGCACACGCTGAAAATGGTAATGATTTAACGGATGTCTTTAGAGGCTGAAAAGGAATTTGTGTGACACATACTCATTCCTTTAATACCTGTAAATACACCGCCGTCTCTTCAACTTACATTTTCCATTAAGCTACACATCTTCCAGCCTTTTCTTTTCCTAGATGCGCTCCCTCCTTCCTCTCACGGCGGTTTATAAACAAGCTGTAGTTGTTTTTGGGACTGGAGGTCGTTGATTTGTCTGCCTCTCCCCGTAGGTCATTGAGGTCACCATGGCCCCGGAAGCATCAAGCTTCGAAAATGAGAAGCCCCGCTCGGCTCTCCCGCTGGCGACCAGGAGCACCCCTTGCCCGCGCCCGCCCTGATGATTAATGCCACCCCCGTCCAGCCACAAACCTTTCTGCCTCAGATAATGCCAGGCAGCAAGCGCGGCTGACACTTTTAATGTATAATTAAGTAGAAAAAGTCAGCACTGGCTATGCAAATTTTTTAAAATGATAAATGACGCTGTACAGCAGCAGGGATTGATTTGGTGTAAATGAAACTAATTAAGGAAATGTCAAACATAATTAATAAAACAGGTTTAAGCTGCAAAACATTGTCAATTGAATGAATGAGGAGGCATTGGCTCCCATTGTTCAGGCTTTATTTAGGTCTTGTGTTTAGCTTGTTCCCTGCTCCAGAATGCTCTCTCCCCTCCTCACTCCCTCCACCACCAATTCCCTGAGAGGGGGAAAATAAATTTGCTTGTCTCTCCGCTGACTGTAGAAATTAATTGCTGAAATCTTGTCCCATCCAAGTGTTACATTCACACGCAGGACATTAACATAACTAATTTGAAAGAGCTCAAATGACTGCATAATGGAGCTCCGTCACCATGCATGACAGTCGCTGGTCATACCAAATTAGCTTGGTTTTATAATTGAAAATATTCCCCCCTTTCTAATTTTTACACCATTTCCCTTCTTTTTCTTCATCTACTTTTTCTCTTCTTCCTGACTCCTCTTCCTTCCATGGTATCTTTCCTTTACATTCCGTTTTCTTGATAAGAACAAAGGTTTTATAATTTACAAAAAGAGTGCTTGACCTATAATTAGAGGAGTGAGGGGAGAGGAGGGGGAGTGCCAAGCGGTGGCGGCAGAGTCAGATCCTTAGTCCTGGTAATGATGCTGGAGACCTTGTGGCCCCCGGGGAGGCAGAAGAATAATGGGATGGGCTATTTTTATGGGGGAGCAAAGCAATGGGCCACCAGCCGCTGGGATGCTGGTGCCTGGGTATGGTGCAGAGCAGCAGGGGCTAGCAGGGGGCTAGTGGGGGGCAAAGGAGGGTGAACACTCAACCTGCCACACTGCCAGCTCTCGGCCCTGCCCATCAGTTCTGTACGTCAGCCTGATGCACCACTGCCGGCCTCTGTGCCCCCGCACCAGCCGCTGCCCTTGCCGCAGAGAGACAGAACTGGGTGGGTGGGTGGACGAGTGGGTTGGAGGGGGGTAGAAACATCTGCCACTCCGAGGATAACAGAGGACTCAAAGATACAAAGTGAGGGGGGGTATCACAGTGAAGTGATGTATCTAGAAACTCAGGTATAATACACAGTAATGGCCACATGTATAAACTATGAAGACCTGGATAAAATAATACTTGCAAGCTCTTTGAACCTGATTGGACAAAACAACTTTCTAATCAGTCGTACGAAACAAAGACTAAACTAACCAAATACTCAACTTTGACCATCTGCAGTAAAGTTTGCAGCAGTCAGCGGGAGTTTTATATCCCACCCATTTTGCACTTTTATAATCTAAAACAAAAAAACATCTAAAACTATAAATGCTATTTATTATTTTGTACTGTTTGACCCAAGCCGCTAACACAGATATCGTTAATAATGTGTCTGTGTGCAGAGTATTGCAGCAGACCTACGGCTGCCAATATTTTTGTGTTTTGGTTCTACACACTCTAAGCACCGCTATTTATCATACTCCCACATAACAATTCTCAAGAGTTAAAGGAGCAAAAGAAAACAAAAACAAGAAAACAAAAAGTACAAGAACAAAAGAAAACCAAAAAATACAAAACAAGAAAATAAAACTCTGGAACAGTCACAGGCTTTATTCCCATTGCATTTTCATTCTCATCTTTATTTCATTATTCCGGTGAGGATTCTTATGCTTGTAAAAGTAAACTTAAATCCTGGACTCCTGTACCGTTTCTGTATTCTTTATGCATGACAGTAACAGCGCTGCAGCAACCGTGGCCCCACAGTCAGCCACAGAGCTACAATGATTTTTGCAGCAATGCTCTGCTCTGCTAATATATTTAAGGCTTTGTGTGTTTAAAAGCATGGTCCTTTTAATGGATATCCTTTCATTAAAGTATTTTTGTGTCTTATTATTGTTCCTGTGACCAGAGAAAATGTACATAGACCGATAATTAGCAGTAGTTCATAATGAGTGCGGTTGGTCCAGTGCGCTGTATGTTCTGAGCTTGAGCTCAAGGATATAATTTCATTTGAATTATTACCATATGCATTTTTTCCAGGAGCACTTAGAAGCTTCTAACATGCCCACATATTAGATGCAGTGTTTCCTTCTGGTGCCCAAACTGGAGCTGAAGTTGCAGTCTCCTGACTTTGTTGCTTTGTCTTGCTCTATAATAAAGAAAATCAGGGATCACCCGGTAGCGGCCCAGGTTCAAATCCAGCCTGTGGCCCTTTGCTGCCTCCCTCCCTTTTTTTTACCAGCTTTCTGTAAAGTTTTTGAATATGAATTTTCCAAACGTATTTCAAACCTGCAAGTAATGAACTTCAATAGAACATTAAGATCTTGTGTACCAAATGCCAAAAAGTAACTAACAACATTATTATATAGTTATATGAGCATTTGCTACGAACGTCTATGTTGTCTTTGCATTCTTGTTCTTGTAATAACAGCAACATCTAGTATAAATCCCTTCTCGTAAAAACCTGTGACCTGTTTTGCACATTTTCCCTAAAGTTTCCAAGTGGTAGTTCACCTTTCATGTTATTTACTTTCAAACATTTTGCTACAACTCTTTCATACAACCCAGCCCTTAAAATGCCAAGGGTCACGAGTCAAACATATGCAGCGCGGATTACAATTTATTACCCCACATTTGCCTGATAATTTTTCTCTTTTGACAAGCTTAGGTAAATCATATAGCCTACTCTATAATGTATGAGGACTCAGCTAGCTTGATGAGTAAAGTTCGTTGCTATTGGCTGTTACCCCTGTGGTGTTTGAGTTCCCATAAGACCAATAAGGCTTGTCTGTGTTCCAATATGACTGGAATCACTGCAGGAACAGGTAGAGGTCCAAGTATTTATAGAAACCATATGCAAATTGATCAGTGCCATGTTACATTGTTAGAGCAGAGAGGTGACAGTTAAATACATGTACATAGAAGGAGAAATATATAGGCTTCTCTCTCTCTTTGAGACAAGTCTAATCAGTTAGGATGGCCTCCTCTCCTCATTTCATTTGAATATATTCAGCTTGGACTCAGACTAAGGAAGTGTCTCTCCCCTCCCATGTATATTATTCCTTCCCGCTGAAGGCTCATTATTTTACAGCAGGGTGTGTGAGAGGTGGCCCCAGTCTCTGAACTCTCTGTCGAGGCTGTATTAATCAAACTTCACACAGCGGGGAAGGGTCCACCCACTGACACGGCACCGCTCACTCTACACTTGAGGACAAAAGGAAAAACACACAACCTAAGCTGTTACTGTGAAACATGTACAGCTTTTGAAGATTTTACCACTTTTAATTATTTTCACAACAATAACCCCCACACATTTTCAAAGATGGTCCCAAAGATGGACCATGCTTACAAAATATTTTGTAAAACAATTTCTGTCAGCGTTAACAGTGTCCTCCTTCCTTTTCTCCTCAGTGGACAACAAGATCTTCGCATGGGGAAATGGCACCAGTGGACAGTAAGTGAAATTCTAAAGTTAAAAGCTCTAAAAATGAGCATGGGAATCGTGCTTCTCCCTCAGTTTTAGGTTGACCAGCACTGTTCAGACTTTCATTGCCTCGCATGGACAGAGTGAGGAGAGTAGGGATAAGAAGCTGTCATGATACTTCAGGGGTCTTCTTAGGTGTTCATAAAAGTTCAACTATCCTTGGTTAGTTTTTTCCTGCCCAGTGGTCATTCAGATGCCGTATTGTCTGACAGTATGTTGTATAGCTGTATATTAGACTGCAGGCACTCTGACAGGCAAACAAACAGACATAGTTATACACGAAGATAAGTTGTTTTCCTCCTGATGACCTTCCTTGTTAAAACTTCTCCAGCTAGGAGACAGTCTGGCTGTAATGACATCTAAGGGCCTGGGGGCTGCAGTGATTCAGCGGCCCTCAAGTACTCAAACAGTAGCACGGCAGACCTCAGAGAAATACATAAAAGAAACAAAGGCATCACTTCTCACTCTCTCATCATCTCCCATTGTCCCTTATTCTTCTCTTGCTCTCCATCTCTCTGTTTGTTCCGTTCTCTCTCTTTCTCTTTCTCTCTCTCTCTCTCTCTCTCTTCTCTCATGATGCTTTGACCCCTCTAAGCAGGTCGAGGCTCTCTAGTGGGGAGCTTATAGTTGGAGGAGCCTATAGTTGGAGCTCCACAACACCCACTTGCAGAGCAAAGGGTGAGCATCTCCGTTATACAACTGGCACTCTGATATCTGAAAACTCTGCAGCTCTCCTGTGTGTCTCACTGGAGGCGAGAGAGGAGAAGAGTACGAGAGAGCTGTGTAAATTTAAACTGGCAAACTTTCTGATGGAAATAGCAGTGACCCCAGAGTGGTCTTGTCTTGAGTTGAAGCATTGTTGTAATCAATACAGGCTCTCGTGGGGATGGCGGGCGAGGACCTTTCGTTCCCCGTTTGTGGAAATAATGGAGAAGACTGTTTGTTATTTTTCCCAGACATGCCGCAAACTAGCAGATATGGCCGGGGCATTGCAGGTTATGACGCTGGCTCAGGGAAACAAATACAAAGAGGATCATTTTATCAAGAAGCAAACAGCAGAGCTCTGTTTGAAGCTGCTGGGAGCTCACAGGTCACAGGGGTGCTGGGGCTGCGTTTGACCAGCTCATCTTGAAAAGGGGTCTTGGATGTTCTTTGTTCACTCACACTAGGGACATGGAGACAGAAACACAACTCTCAGCCAAGGCATATGTAAAGTCATTTGTACAGCTGCAAATTGAGTAAGGTTCAGTTATTATTTCTTCCTTAGGAACGTAAAACTGACCCCACTGAAATATGCCTGTTAGACACTATATGTGACTCTTACCAGAAAGACAACACCATGGCATTGCTACTGGAGCGTATATATTAATAAACGATATCTACAGTAACAAGATCTCATAAAGGTCATGATCTTATATTACTGTTGATGACTTGTTTGTTAAATAAATAATTAAATAGATGTTTCATGTGTTTAAACATTACCGTTTATTTTTTGTTTTTATTTAGTTAGTTTTCAATTATTCGTTTAAAACAGTAAAACAGTATTTTAATAAGTTTTAAAATTTGGCTTCAAGAGACAACTTTCTCTTAACCATTCCTCCTGAATGATGGTATATCTTTGACACGATAGAGAAGAAAATGTCAAAGTGTATTTTCCGTCTGCTTTTCCTAGACTGGGTGACGGAGAGAGGGCAGTAAAGCATCAGCCAGTCGAGGTTAAGTTGCCACTGAACGTCGAAGGAAGTGACGCAGATGTGGATGTTGTCAATATAGTTGGAGTGGCTTGTGGAAGCAGACACTCCTTCGTTTGGACTGAATCTGGGCAGGCCTACAGTTTTGGCAACAACTTTTACGCCCAGCTGGGCTATGACTTCCAGAGGGCTGACTTCAAAGAGCACCAGGTATGAAGATACTTGTGTGTTTTACAGAGGTGATACAATCAAAATGAAATATGTATTTGATGCCGGAACCTCCTGAATATCTGAATAGCTTTGATTTTAGCGTAACACTCTTCATATTGAAGCATGACACACACACAAACTCACAAAAGTGTGCACTAATCACATTAAAACCTGATTTTTATAATGTCCCCTTAAAACATCTACATAATCTCTACAGTATAATATCATTAGTTTTTAATTCATTGTTGTGAGAAAGCGAGAGAGAGGGGCTGATGGAGACAGGCCTGTGTGATGGATACCTCAAGGGCCTGGATGGCTCTTTGCTGGCTGTCTCTCTCTATCTCTGTCCTTACATGGCCTACCATACAGTAGCATGCTGCTGAACCATACAAATCCTAAATGAAGTGCTGTGGAATTGAAATTGGCTCTCTTGTGAAGTGTTCCACTTGCATTGGAGCTTAATTTTGCCTACTCATATCATTTGATTCAGTCCCTCAGTCCCTCTTTTGCTCGCTCCAGCCCATCGCTCCCTTTTCCTTCTCATGCAAAATAAGCCCATTTACCGCAATGTGACAGTGTCTGGGTGAATGATTGCCACTCAACACTTGATATATGGGTATGTGCTTCTGTGCGCATGTGTACGGGATGTATTATATTTCCGACAGACTTTCCCTGTCTTTTGCAGTTACATTAGTGCATTGTTATACATTAAGTCTTCATTCGTTTTTTTTTCACACACATATTGTAGTGACTGGATTAAAGAAGGGGGAAAAGGTTAAGTGTATTTCAGTCCACTCTCTTTCACTCGCCCCAAATATTGTCCCATTTCTCCAGTGCTGAAGTCATTATGAAGAAGCCAGGGATATCTGTTGCTTTTGGATTAATTTTCCTTAAAATATGAGGCATCATTAACGGACTGTATACTTAAACAACAGTATTATCAACCATTATTTTTTGCTTAACTACCACAGTGAAGTGTTCAGTTACTGTTTGATAATCAAAATACGGTTTTCTTGTTATGTTATCTGTTGTTCCCCTGGCCTTTTTCCAGCAGTAACATAAGACAAATTCCCAGAAGAGAGGCCTTTAGAGTTCATATGAGACTGGCCTCATGCTGGGTGGGAGGGGGGCAGAAAAGTACCCAGCCACCTGGCAGCAGTGTGGAGGCCCAGGGGCCAAAGCTCTCACCTCTCCTCCCTGATAAAGGCCATCGGGATCTGCATGACTGCACCCAGCCCTTTCTCCTTTCTGCTAAAACAGAACAGATACTGAAGGGGGAAATGCAGCAGCAGTGGCAGAGAATGGGACCTGGTGGTATGTGTATCGCTGAGTCACCCTTTCCTCTCATTTTAGCCATAACAGTGGCCTCCGATTGCCCCAAGTGAAGGCCCAAACCTGGTCGTCTTTCTTGTATACTACCAACCTCCATCTTCTTTCATCCCTATTGCCTCCCTGAGTAAGTTTTTTTTTTCAGTGGGACCAGAAAAGCTGCTCCACCTCCAGCTATCCCCCAGACTCCGTACTATATGATACTGGCTATTGTTGTAAAGAATCTGTAGGTTGGAACTGCCGGCTTCACCCCTAAGGCTCCGTTTCTCTTTACCGTCTGAAATGGAGTGGTAGCAGACCGCTGAGATCTGAGAAACACTATATTCTGTTCTTTATTGGCCCAGTGATAAGGTGTTGGGATTCTGCTCACACCTGTGAGCCCATTGTTCAGGCCCGCTATGGCATTTCACCTGCAACAGACAAGGTTAGACAGAGCTCCTATTTAATGGTTTGATTGACATTATTTTAATGGCACACCGTGGGGAGCTATATGTCTGTGAACGGAAATGAAAGTTAATCTTATTCCCCCCCCCCTCTCATGTCTCTGCCCTCTTTCTCACTCCCCTCATTAGGACAATAACATTGTCATTTTTTAAGGTTTTGAAGGATGTGTTTGTATGCCGTTAGGACAGTCCCTCTCTAGATTTCCATGTTCTGCCTTTTCTAAACATTTTGATAGGAAATAGTCACTGGCTATGTTACTGTGGTTGTTTCAACCCAGTATCATATACCATAGGTCTGTTTGCTTTTGTGTTTATGGATTTTTTTTCTCTGTATATACATAACATAGCTCAGTTTCTAAGTAGGTTAACACCTTTATAGCTGAAAATGTACCACCCATTGTCTGTATTTCTACAAAACTAGGCAAAAAGCAACCGTGGGAGCATGAAAATAAACTCTGTTCCTAAGTGTGACACGTGTGCAGCTTGAGCTTGGCACGGCATCCGTGTTCAGCCTGGCTGAGCACAACTTGTTTGAATGTCATATTTATCCCTGTGTTTTGTCAGAAAATTAACTTCCTGTGAGTTTGCGGCAGAGCCGAGCATATGGCCACAGCTCTCTGGAGATGACAGCCTAGCGGAGCGGGAGCTCGCCGGTGCCGCTGCCCTGCTCTGGCGGCAGATGCTCCGGGCTTCTCCGCGATTAAGTGGAGATCATCACTGTTTTCTTTGAGCACCGCTGTGCCTTGTACTCTGAAGTGTTCCGTTAATCACTGCCTGCCTCCCTGCCTTTTCCACACAAGCTGCCAAAGCACTCATTAAGTTTGAATCTCCCTCTCACCACCCGTTTCCTTACCAGCTCGATACATTGCGTGACTGTATCTTAGCAGTCACCCTTTCTGCAGGAACACGATGGTTTGTTGCACCTGTTTGCTAGAGGGATCATAAAAGCCATAATGTTTTTGTGCACACTTGTTTGAATGGTATATGTGATTCCATCTCTGGCCCTCTTCTGCTGCTCATTCCTTTTTAAGTCATTGTGTACATACTGTAAAATGAGTATTGCTCTCTGAGTGTTTTCTCTCATCTGTGTACGCTGATGTGCTCTGTATTTGAGTTTCTCCCCATGTCTAAGATGCTGCCTTATTTTCAGTACAGACCTCTGAGGGGAGTGAAGCCTCCTCTATGCTTGTGGTTTTCCTTCTTCTCTCTCTCTGCATGTTATTAGGAAAAAACTGCTAGTCCCACCATTTACAGTTGTTAAACATAACTACATTATCCTCTGTGCACGTGTGTGTGTTTATGGAATCAGAATGCAGGTATAATGTTAAACACAACTCTGGTCAAAGAGAAACAAAGAAGATAAAATTTTTGTCTCAGTTAGCCCCCCCCCCCAATATCACGCATCCAGTTGTGCTGTGTATATCTCCTACACAAGCAACCATCCATTGTTATTGTTAAACATTGTGACACGCTTTAACCCTGATTGATCTTGATCTCCGACACAAATAATAATGTGATTACAGGCTTTTCTCTGCTTCTCTCTTCACAGCAGTGGAAAATAACATTAGATATTTTCTTTCATGTTAATCGCCTTGGTTGGAAGTATACCTCGGTGCACCAATAGGCCTCAGTAATGCCTCCTTTCTTCTAAAAAAAAACCATCCAAAATAACCTATTTGCAGCACACCCACACACACATTGCTTAGCTCCGTAACACCGTTATTCTGCACCCATCAAAGCCTGGCTTGCCTGTCCTGGTGCAGCGATCATTCCCCCACAATAGCGGGATGGCATTACTGTGCTTTTGAAAGCATTTGCATGGCAAAGCAATAACATGCACCTTGTAAATAAAGGAATTGATCCTGTTCATCGCAGGTTGGATTTCCTGGATAAAGCTGTGGGAAATGGATCCCTACGCCATCTCACTTCAATACACAGACCCCGTTTCCTCATCCTCAAGTTTACTTTGCAATAACTGTCTGCTTCTTAATCTAGTCTGTCAGGCTGTCAGGCAGACACACAAAAACGTATGTGGTTCTCTCTGCTGCATTGGTTACTTGGCAGACACGCTGATTAGTGCCAGTTTGCCTCTTTTTCAATATGTAGATACCCAGATAGAAAGCTGGCCCTATTCATTCAGTCCAAGAACCAAAATAGCAATTGCTGTTCTCAATCAACTATGAAGAAATTGGTTTGCATTGTTGGACGAGGTTGATTAGTGAATTTTTTTAAGAGGCTCTTGAAATTATTTGCAAAATCAGGCTTAGTTCAGCATCCTTTTACAGTGTAAGGTCAGCAATAAAGGATAGCTTAATGTTGTTTTTTTTTTTTACCATAGTTCATACTGTATGAAAAACTATGCATGTGTACCCTGTGGGCCTGCATATTGTTATTTTACACAATAAACGTTTATCTCATCTAGTCAGAATCAAATCTATTCACAACTGTACAAATTGCCGCTGTGCTCTTGGCAAGGTACAGCTAATTTTTCGACGAGGAAATTCCTTGTCAGGAGCAGCCAAGGGAGAAAGTGTCAGTTTGATACCACAAGTACACTAACGGCTGTGTGGGAGCATAAGTGTTCGCTGCGCTTCGGTGACGGTGCGTTTGATTTCAACACTGACCACCGGTGATGCCAACCCTGCAGTCCTCATCTGAGCCGCCTCTTGAGACGTGAACATAGACGGCCCTCCCCCACATCTCACTCTCAGACTGATGCTGCTATGAGTGAAAGAGAGAGAGAGAGAGAGAGGGAGAGAGAGGGAGTAAGTAAGTGAGAGGCTGGCAGACAATAAAGTCACTGTATAGTATATACTTCTATCGCTTGTCTATTGTTACACCGCAGTTACAAGCTATGCAGTATGTGGGAACTCAGTGTGGGTGTACAGCGACCTAAACTACTATACCCATCTCCCCTAGGGGCACCTCAAAGGATGCTTGGGCTCTGCTGAAAAATGAGAGGCAAGGCAAGTGAGAGACAGGGAACAGAGGGAACAGAGGGAGGTAGTCTCAGCTGTGTAGGAAGGCCAACCTGCGCCTCTGGAGATCCTGCGTCTTTTCAAAAGTACCAAGACAAACCCATCTTTCTGACGACTCACTCCCTCCTCTTACTTGTTTAGGGCCACAGTGTGGAAGTAGCTCAGTATGATGACTTCTGCTGCACTCTGAAACTCACTATAGGCATTCTTCATTGTTTGCTATTGATGTTATGCAAAGTTTGTTCTTGCAATATGCATTATTTTCTCAGTGTGAATGAGAGAATATGGTGTTTGTGACCTTGTTTCAGTTTGAATCATATGCCCCACTGTTTCCTAATATGCCCCTAGTGTATATAATGCTGAAAGCACATTTATTACACATCAATAATTCTGTACATTTCCTTCTGGAAAACTAATTCTCATAATAGGATTTTGTCAATGTGATTTGAATAATGATCTCAAAACATCCCATTTTAGGCTACTTAACTAAATAGAATATTACTGATTGCAACACTTATCCATGGTTGGGGTTTTGGTAACCTTCTTTTCTGTTTCTTGCCAACAGCCAATTTTCTCTCAATTAAAGCATGATATTAGCACTCAGTAGGGCATAAACAGAAATAACCGTACACTACTGAATATCATGCCTTGATTATGAGCTTAAGAGTGGGTGTACAGATGGATCCAGCTTCTATACTCCTATTAGACTGCTGGTGTTTTTATGTGTCTGTGAGAGAAAGGGAGAGGGAATCACTGCCTGCATGTGCACAAGTGTGTGTCTGTGTAACACTTCAGCTGGAAGTTATCAGCTTTATCCTGTTAAAACCTCTGGAAAGGGAGGGCAGGGGGGAAAGAAAGACAAAAGTCACAGGTATAGTAAGAAGAAAAAGTGTATCATTACATTGAGAGCCAGTCAGTGGTGATGCCAGTTGGCCAAAGTTAGCAGGAAGCTGTCCTAGTAAATGGCAGCAGCTGCTCGCAGTTCGAGAGAGCATGTCCCAGTCAGAGGAGAAAAGCGATGGCATCTACATTAATACTACCTTAATGGCCCATCTGGCGCTCCGTAGGGTCCCTGGCTGCGCCACCGACTCACAGGCGTTTGACAGGCAGTCTCCAGCGCACCAGACGCGCATGGCATGCCAAATGGCGGGGAGACGCCTCCGTGGCGCACAGATCTGTCAAACTCTCTCTGACGCTGTAGTCACACAGGCAAGGGAAGTTAAGGCAAGTTTTCACACGTGATTGGTTCTTGACATGGATGGGGAGAGGGAGGGGGCAGGAAGAGAATGACTGGCTTGTCTGTCTCTCTCCTCCGCACCCTCCTCAAATGCAAACACACATATGCGCACACTCAGAGGGCACACACACATAATCACACACAACCTCACACAATACACACACTCTCCATACTAGATGCTAAGTTGCCATGACCAGATTAAAGCTCAATGAGAAAGCCAGGTTAAGATTAGCCAGTGGTGGATTCACTCTGCTCTGATGGCAAATAGAGATAACAAATATTATTTTTGCTGCAAGTCACAGCCTCTCTCTGTAAACAAATACTGGAACAAATCGCTTCATTGGCAGAAATTGTGGAAGGTCTTATCAAAACACTACAGGGGTTTCTGGCTATAATTGGCATAATTGGTTGACAGAGCAGGCTGCAGTCAATGATGTGGCACAGTGATGCACTTTATGATCATGGCTTTAGGTCTATAGATTGCCCTTTTTAGATATTTAGTGGGCAAGAAGTGCATTACTTAATATGCAACTACGGCCATCGCAAGGTCTGCCGGTATGTTGTATACCTCTGCGTGTCAACAAATGTTAACCGGATCATACGGGTATATATTTTCTTGTGTCAGATAATAGTCCTTTGAAGGCCTAGTGTGTAACATTTAGCATAGTCTATTGGTAGACATCGAATATAATATTCCTATTTATCTTTTCAGTATTATCACCTGAAAAACGGAGGCCACCATCTTGAACTGCCATGTTTCTACAGTAGCCCAGAGCAGACTAACCAAACACTGGCTCTAGAAAGGGCTTTACTTGTTATACATGGGTTTCGTGGCCACTGCAGTTTCTCCTACACAATTGGAAGGCTGCGCTGTATTGGAATGGTTGCAACTTCACCGTTAGATGCCACTGAATTCTTCTGGTCCTTTTTAAGCCAGTTTTACCAGTGTATGATCTCACCCAAATTCCTTCTCTGCCCTATGTGCTTGGCCTTTCTGTCAACCCCTGTTGAGCTACACAATACTGGCAGTAGTGGAGGTTTCTCTCAGAGCAGGTCACATTCTGCAGTACCCACCAGCACAGATCACAGTCCCAGAGGTCTGTATCACACCGCTGCTGGGAAACTATGCCTTCTTTATGTATGAGTAAACTACACAAAAAAGTACAGCAAGAGTACTTTAAAACATTTGCTACCATTCTTTCTCTCACACTTTTTCTTAAGGACATTTTGAGAGATAGCAGTTCAAAAATGGAACGGAAGGTTCTTTAGAAAATGCATTTCAAATGGCTTATCCAGTAGGTAGCCCCAGAGGACACCTCAGGGATAAACCTTGGCAAGAAGGGAAGATAGAGGGAAAAAAAGCGAAATTGGAAAGAAGACACAGCCGTGACTAAAACAGTAGAAATATATAGGGAGAAAAGGTATCCTCTTAACCTGCTGACGCCTCTTCAGAGGAATCACAGCACTCCATATCAGTATTCACTCTCTGAACATTCTGCTGTGTTCTCTGTTTATAGAAAAAGCCTAGATCCGCTGATGTCTCTTGCCCCAGACAGTCTCATGTTTAGACAGCCTGTGCAGGTGATATCTAAATGACTCACACCATTGTAAGACATTGTCCTAGTTTAGTTTTGTTTTGTTGTTTCTCATTTGGTGTTACTGGTGTGGCTGATGTTCTTGTATTTAAAGTACATCAATGGAATTATGGGAATGCTTATGATGGAAAAACAGGGGGGGGATGTTTTATGTCAGAGTAAAGAAAACACAAATCTAGTGAAATTGATGTCAAGGAGAGGTCAACTGGACAACAGCTGCCAAGTTGTGTGTGTAAGAAGGCAAAAGGGAGGAGAGAGATAGAGAGATGAGGGCTGAGAGGAAAGAGGAGAGAAAAAAAGAGGAATCAGCAGAATGGGTTTGGGGGGGATTGAGAAGAGCAGGAGGAACTCTTCAACTTTCACTCTCATTCCCAGATGTTTTGTAGGCAAGACGTACCCTTTGAAAAGCTTGTGGCAAAATAATCGAAGTACGAATTAACACACGCACGCTCTCTCTCTCTCTCTCTCTCTCTCTCTCTCTCTCTCTCACATACTTCCTTTTTTCCTCTCTTTCTTTTGCGCCCTCGTTCAAACTCTCTCCACATCTCCCTCTCTTTATCTCTCTCCCTGGGCATCTCCGTTCCTTAGTGGCAAGCCCAGCTGGGGGGTTTCTGTGGTACTGTGAGTGAACCTTCGCTGTCTCCTTCGGCAGGCAGCTGTCCCTGTACAACGCACAAACAGACATACTGTACTGCACTTATCTGTGCCTCCCCTGCTAACTTCTGTTCATATTTTCACTTACTCCTGTTTTACTTTCACACACATTTACATGTTACCAGGTCAGAATGGAACACGGCTCTTGTTAGTTGAAACTGAGATTTACAAACAGAAATACAGTTTTAATATGCTCAGCAATAACAGAAAGGGACAGGGCTCTCCCATACCATGACCACCACCTGCAATCTACTATAAAGCCACTAGAGGGAGCTTATATTATGCTGCGGCCCCTCATGTCAAGAATCTGTTTTATAGTACTGTTGCTCCAGCAAGGAGGCACAATCTTTCAAATGTTCCCCATTCACTCCCTGAATTTCCAGTTTCATGTTTTTGACAACACAGAGATCGTAGCCTCTAACCTAGACAAGAGAAAAGACATAAATTGGTATTAGAAATGTGCTTTCTTTCAAACAAATACAGTAATCTCATGTGTTTGTGTGTTAACACAGATATCCGCTAGTGTGAGTGTATGTGTGCTTGTGCAGAGGTGATAATTCTACAGTTGCTTAGAAGCTTGTGGTGGGTGTGTAATGACAATAACAGAGAGCATGCCCAGGCGTGCTTTCAATCTGCTCCCCAAATGTAATGAGTCTGGCCAGAAGTCTGGTCATCTCAACTTGATCAAAAACGGGGGGTGCAAAATCTGCAAATGATTTATTATATCCTGTGGAGATTCATCAGTTACACATGTCAAAATGATGCTGAGCTGAAAATTAAAAGGCATCTTTCGTCACCATTATTTTCCTAATATAGACGGAAAGAGGGAGCGGGAAAGCAATTCAGTCAGGACAATAGACGAAAACTGTTTTTATCTGGTTCAATTTAGAGCATATTCCATTTTATTTGGACTCATTCCATCTGTATACATTTTATTCTGATCTTTTCCTACAATTTAATAAGTCAGTGTTACACCATGATATAAGTAATTTGAATAAGAAATATCTCCAAAGCTTTATTTCTACATTGTTTTTCAGAAAAAAACACATATTACACATTATTATGATTTATTAATACATGCGTGCTTATCACCAAAGTACATTCAAACATTTGTCCTTACTTCATGAACTTTCGTTTTTCTGATTTATGCGCACCGTATATAGATACAGATCACATTTATCCCTACCTCATATGCACCTTTGCCCTATTGCATTTCATCACCCTGCAGAAGACTAATGCATATTGCCAGTTAATCATATTTTTTTCTGTCTCTGTCCCACCCTAATAGGAGTGGGGTGACATGACAGCATCTGAACTAGACTCCCAGAGTTGTCCTGCCATAACGTTACACGATCTTCCCTCTCACGTTACTAAAACAGGCTTGGCCGATGGGATTCGCCGTACTGTGCGCTTCCCCTCTCCTCCGCTCCTCCTGGCCTTTTCCTGTGACAGGGCTGCCGATGATACAGATCCGCTGTGACATTTTACATTGTGCTCCCTAATTGCAGCAGCTGATAGTAGGATAGCTCACCATACAGCTGCATATTTCTTCTTTTTTCTTTTTTCTTTCTTTCTTTTTTTTTTTGAGGTGGCTTGCACAGGCTGGTGTACTGGTTTAGACTTACTGCATTGTTCAGATGCTGTCTGATGGTATGCCATTAGGTGTTTCTCCTTGTTGTACAACTCTATCTGCAGCAACATTTCATTAAATGTAAAATCTGGTAATTTAACTAAAACTTTAAAAGGAATCTTTTTAGTTGATAAAATCTTTTTTTCCAACATTTACATAAGTGAACAAATGGTGTTTGTGGGCCAACGTGTTGTTGTCCGTTCCTCCCTTTGCTCTGGTGTTGTGTCCTCAAGTGTCTCCCACAGCCTGCGACTCCCAAACTGAAAGCCAGAATAAACCTGTGTGACAGATGCAGCTCTAATTATACAGTTGTTTTAAGACTGTCAGGTTGCAGCGAAAAGGGAGCCAGCCATTTGGGAAAGTGAAGGAGGAGGGTATAGAGTAGGAAGAGGGGGGTAGAGGGGGACGGTTTGATGGACGGACATTGTAACACCAGCATCTGGTGATAGCTGCAGCTGCCGTATCGTTTTCCCACCGCCAGCTTGCCAGCTAAATAAATATTGCCACGATCTGTCTTGTACTAGCAAGTGTAAATTACTTTAACACGTCAATAACTAGTTTACAATGATGTTTTTTCCTGCCATTTCAGAATATATATTGATTTCACATTGCTGTTAAATGGCATGAGCACTGTTTCCTTCACCCTGTACTTTGTTTTTCACATAGACTCCCAATGAACTTGGCAGGAACAGGAGATAAAAGGAAAAACATATCGATCATGCAGTTATTTTACTTTTGCACTATCACTAACAACAAAATTCAATTAACAATATTGAACATTGTGCCCCTCATGATAGCAGATCTCACGTATTTTAGTTTGATGGTAAGGGTCAGATCTGTGACTGTTTGTCTTTGTGTGGGTTTCTTTGGATCTTATTACACTGGTAATGTGTGCATCTGTGTCTGTATATGCTTTTTGAGCCATGACATGTTAATTTTCATGGTCTCACAATTGACATGAAGCATTTAGTGTTTAAAAAAAACAACATTCTCTTAAAAAGTATCTAGTTTTTTCATGCTTTGTTTGGTAAAGCTGAGTATAATTCACACAAAAAA